GGGGACGGCCCTGGAAACTGATTATGAATGTTAAAGGTTAACGGGTAGCGGAACCCCTATGGACCCCCACGGGATACTAGTAGGCTGGTAAATGAGAAAAAGATATGTTGTACAATGATTGAATTACAAGAGGCGTGATAAGTGTTATGTTTTACAGCTTATATTATTCAATGATTATGATAATGTTATTGTTTTTCTTATATTGTTTTCATAAATTCCACCGAGGTAAGTGGATGGTAAAGGTTTTCATGTTAATAAACGAGTTTGTTGTAAATTATGCTCCATTGGTCTTTTTGTATTTTTCTACCCACCTTTACCTCCGTGACGGTGAGATATCGTGATGTTCTTACTGGGCTAGTGTAGCTCACTCCTTATTTAACAATTTCAGATCAGAAAAACATGGTTCCCGAGCCCGTTCCGCAGGAGGACGACGAAGGGGATGCCTAGAGACTCTGTAGTCATACTCATAGTTTTATTTTCGAGTTTCTCTCTTAGTTAGTTTAATCTTTTATATTTTAAGTACGTTTTTGGTTTTTCGTGTAAGGGATGTTAACTGAAATTTTGATCTCGCTTCCGCATTTGATATATTTAAATACTCATTTCATTTTAATATTTCCGGGGCCGTTACATTAAGGCTGAAGCACTAATTTTAGAAAGAACACTTTTGAATAAGAGTAGATAATTTAAGTTCTGAGTCATATTCTTATTATTATTTTAAAGAGAACTGATTTCTTTTCTTTTCTTTTTTTTTTTGAAAAAGAAGCATTATGCCTTTTTACGAAGTATTCGTTCTAACGATATGATACAAGAATCCGTTTAAGTGCTATTATATAAGTACTAATGCTTTGGATTCCATTAGAACTTTGCAGTTAAGCGTGTTTTGACGAGAATAGTATTAAGATGAGTAATATCTTGAAAAGTCTTTTTGCACCGAACTTTTTAAATCTATGTTATTGTTTTTTTTTAAAAGAAAAAACGATATGATACAAAAATTTTGTGTTTAAACTAAGTTTGATTACATATACTATAATTATCAATTTGGTGCCTCTCGAAGATGAGAAAAGACGAGTGATAGAATTATATTTGCTATATATGGTCAGAATTATATTCGATTCTAACAATTAAATGGGAGGAAAACATTTCTCTTTTAATAATTT